ACCAGAGCTCCTGTGGTGGCAGGACCTAAGAATTAACCTAAAAATCAGCACTGCTAGCCAGGGACTGCACGGAGGACTGCTCTGGTAGCTGGGAAATAAACAGAGAAGGTGAAGAGAAAGGTGGGCTGAGCTATGGACTTTTGCCGGTCCAGAGGGTGCCGCCATTTTGAATGTTTAAAAGCGGCTTGACTATTTTGGATATTTAAAGAGACAGCGTGCTCGCATATTCCTGGGGCTTAAGAACACGTTCTGCTTTCCAGTAAGCCCAAGGACACTCCGGACCTGAAAGACCGAAAAGGTACGACATTCCTCTTGTTACTCTTGTATCCCACACCCACTTGGTGAATGGAGGTGCAGCCATCCCCGACTCCAACCTACCTTCTGGGCCCACAGGAACTCCACCACACTATGTGTGCTCAGACAGAGCCTGGGTGCCCTGCCCTGTCCTCCACCGATTTTTTGTTTTCTTTTTCTTTTTATTTTTTCTTTTTCATTTTCTTTCTTCCGGTGATTAGTTTGCTTGCATTTGTCTGTTTTAAAACAACTATTATTATTAATAATTTTGTCTTTTTTACTATTATTCTCAATTTTCCCCTCTCAAGTCCTAGTTTGCAGGAATTTTTCTTTTCCCTGTTCCTGGTTGAAATTTTTCTTCTTAAATTTAAATGGTGCCCCCCCCTCCTTTTTTCCTCATGGTTACCCCATTCATTGTTTTTCTCGTGGTTCCCCATTCCTTGTTTTTCTCGTGGTTACCCCATTCTTGCTGTTCTTTTTGCATTTTTCCCATTTTTTTTTCTTTAATTATTCCCCTTCTCTACCTTTTTTCCCTTCGTGCCCTATCCCCAGATATTGCAGGTTCTCCTGTTTTTTCTTCTTCTTTTTCCTCTTTTTGGCTACTGTTCTGGTATGATTACATGGTGTGTGTTTTTTGTCCATGTGCTTTTATTTTTTGATAGTTATTTAATTGTAATTTTTGTCTAACTGAGTGGGAGACAGCAACTGTCCCCGTAAGACACAACTACACCCACACCTCCTGCAAATTCACTTACTGAGCGAGAGCGACTACCTTCTTTTCCACCAACAGGCCAACGATAAAAAAACACCAAGAAGAGCCTAAATCACCCTTGGCTGCTCTTCACAAACAGTTAACAGAGATCTAAATAAAAGAACACCACGATGCCTCGAAGACAACAGACCATCACAGTCCACACAAAGAAGGAGGATAAAGTAGTAGAAACAAGGGAGCAGGATACAGACACAGAACACAACTCTGAGGAAGAAGCTGCATTGGAACACTCTGATAAGGAATCCAAAAAAATTATATTTAGGTATCTTCAAAGAACTGAGAGATAGACCAAAGAAAACAAAGAAAAAAACTTAGAAGAATTTTGGAAGAAAATACAAGAACAAAATGACAAAATAAATGAAAAATTAGAAATGATTCTAAATCTACAGA